TTTTTTTTTTTTTTTTTTTTTTTTGTCCATTTTGGTATTTTCGCCTCTACCAAAGGTCATTTTGGTCATTGTAAAATGTGTATTTTATTTTTGAAGTATAACATGCATAACTAATTCTGTTTACAATTACATAATTATATAATTTTATTAAAATCATTTATTTAAAGATAATTATTAAAATGTCCGGACATTATTGGAAGAAAATTAAATTACATTTTAATTAATTAAATTTATTCTAATAATTTGAATAAACATAAAATAAATAACAAAAATTATTATCTTTAACTAATAAATTTGTTGGAAGTACTCGGGAGAACGAAATAAAAAAATTATTTATTTTATACAAACACCAAAATAATGGTTACAACTTTTCTAGTGTTATTTAATGTTTTTATACATTATTTGAAGTTTTAAAACCATCAAAGTTAAAAATAAATATCAAATATTTATGCTATATTAATATAATGAAATTAATAAATATCAAATATCAAATATTTGGAAATTAAGAAATTAAAGAAAAATAATAATAGAGAGGTAAAAGAAGGTGAGGTGAGTAATAGAGTAGGGAGGTAAGTTGTGATTAAAGATAGAATTAATAACTCGTGGGACCCACAACGAGAGGTTGAAGTTAATAAATTGTGGGACCACAATTCTCTCGAAACATGGTCGAAATTCGAATTCAATACTTGATGATCTCAGTGTTCTCTTGCATTCTCTGAAACATGGTCATGTTACCTACTTATGAATAAAGACTATTCCCACGTACCAAGAGTACTTCCAACCTAATGAAAATAAAAAAAAATATATTTTTTTAATCCACGACTAAGTTTGTTTTATTATTATTATTATTAAAAAAAAAAGTATGTGAAGAGAACACATTTTGTATTAGATAGTTTTAAGAAAGTTAGAAATATTTAGAATTAATTTTAAATATTTTTGGAATTTTATCAAGATTAAATTTTACATTTAAAAATTTAAAAATTAAATTATGATTTAACGTAAAAACTAAATTTATAATTTAACCTAAAATCTAATTAGAAAATAAAAATAAAATATATATATTCAACAAATTTTTTAAAATTAAAATACCTAATTTAAAATTTTTAAAAAATTCTTCTAAGGTAAATTTTTAAAATTAGGTTAAAATTTAACATCGAATTTTAAAATTTTAATATCTTAAGATACATATAACAAGTTTTACCTATAATTTTAGAAATTTAATTGCCTAATAAATATTCTAACTTCCATTTTTGTATTTAATACTAGGTGCATTATAACTTAATAAACAAAAAAAAAAAATTAAAAAAAGGACCATTTTAATCTTTTAAAACAAAATTAAGAAATTCATAATGGCTTGGGCTCAACCTTAAATAAGCTAAGCGGTAGAAACTACCAAGCTAGAGTATAGCAGGGGTAGAGGAAATTTTTGGTAAAACCGTGAAATACATAGAGATTGGAAAGAACAACAATGACAAAAACACTCAGCTGGGCCGACACTGAGAGACGAAAACTAGAGGAGCGAAAGAGATTAGATACCTACCTTCTAAAATTTGGTTATCTGTTCCTTGAATAAACTAGTAATTTAACCTATCATTAGCTGTCAAAACTCCTTTTTAAGTCAATGATGAAGACACAATGCCAACCCTCTCAAGTCCTTAATTTGTCAAGGTCCCCACCACTCTCAGCTGCTAAGTCCCCTAGGGTAAAAGCTTACCCTCCCTCCCCCTACTACCCCTACGCTGTCTTCTAGGGGTTAGATAGATCTAAACCGCTACAACAATTCTAGTCACTACCATCATCATAACATAATCGTTATGATCATTTTGTAGGAAAATAAGTGTTTAAACTTTATCATAAAACACAAACTTTATCTTAAAACACTATTGTGGACTTGTGTGTTTGAAAACATCTTTAAAACGAACTTCTCATGCTTGATCATCCATGCCTCCTCCACATATATAAGAAAAGCAGGCTCAAAATATATCTGTAAAAAGAGGAATTCTTGCAGTAACTTGTATAGCAGCAAATGTCTTCTGACAGAACATGAACAAAATAGACACCAAACATCCTCTTTCTAACAACACTGATGATATTCAAATTTAGAACCATTTCAATGCTAAAATCCTTGTTTTCTGGTATGTATCAGAGATAACTTATCTTAGGTGCTAGAACTTCTGGATGACAACGGAACTCGCAAGACCGGCCTGCTCGATTGTCTGAGTCATGTCGCTGAGAAGTTTGGGAGGGAAACCCATCAACTGCAGCTGATAGTTTCTGGCACCCCCTGGCCTAGACGCGTCGATGAAAGCACGAACATCGCTGATTGTGTGATGGTAATTGAAATGAGCTATCATCCGTGTTCCATCTGCCAACCTAAGCTGAATTGAGGTTGATGGCAACGATTCATCCACAACGAGCCCTGCAGAGGGGCTTGGACTGCTATTGACATTACCGGGAGTAGAAGTTGGCTCGTTTGTTGCTTGGGTTGGCGTGGAACCACCAAGAGTTCTTCCTACACCTTGAAATGGAAGGCGTGGCTTTTCTGGTTCCTGCAAGATACAAAATACGGAGTGTAATATTTATATGCTCCGGCGACTACAAACTCGAAAAATGTTCAGGAACATTAACTGAAGGTAAAATACAGAGTCGAAAGCTCCCAAACTTTAACAGATTCTAGACTCTTGAAAGAATTCTATCAACTATCCTGGTTTGTTTATATGTTCAAATTGTAGAACCAACCAGTGAAATCTAACAAGGTTACTTACACGATACTCCTCCATCCTCCTAATCAAATTCACATGAACGGACGACCTCCTATCTGCAGGTTCAAGCTCTCTGGGGCACTCGGACTTTCTGATGCTCTGGATTGAAATAATACAGTAAACACAACCATCTCAGGACAGTAATCAGTAATCCGAAAAAAGAAACGTATCTAATGGAGTGAATGAAACAAGAAACATTCTGCAACATTTCTACAAGAAATCGACAAACTTACAAACATTGATCAAATATTTCCCTTAAAGTACATTTCATGTGTTGTTTCCAATATTATCCATGGATGCATGCAAACACATGCACACAAATATTCCATTAGAACGTTAAAAGTATCGTATTCCACTTACCTCCAAAAAGGATGCATTTTCAGGATCATCCAACCTCCTTAAAGGCCCATCGTTTACAGTAAAGCCATTACTCCAGAATACAATATTGTGAATAATGCTCTCAGGCTGATCAGGTGCAGAACGTACAGTTTCTCCTGTCAGTAACCTGCCAGTTCCTGTAAAGCTGCTTGAGCTTGAAGATGAACGGGCATTATCAATAGGACCTTCCACTGCTCCCATTTGCCTAGCTTGATTGAAAAGTGAATCCACATCATTGCCCTTTGTAGGATCTTGGACAAGCATCCCGCTGAAAGTTGGCAACAGTGTTAGCATCCAAATAACCTAAAATTCTTGTCAACTTCAGAGTTGCTTCCAAAAGGAGCTTTGCATAAAACAATAGGCATATACGATAATTGGACAGTTTTTTTTTCTCTTCTTTCATTTACTGGAGGGGGAAGAGGAAGGGAGACAAGTCAAGTAAATTATTACATTAGATCCGACCTTAAATTCTTGCTTAGATAAGCAAAAATGAATATATGAAAACAAAACCATGTAAAGACAGTATCCCCCACTAAATACCAATTTCAATTATAAAGAGATATAATTCCTCAATAAAAAAAGAAGAATTCTGTATAGAGGTAAAAATAATATCAAATTCACACTTCTTTGCCTTCACTCCAAAACTTCAAGAGCCAAGTTACCCAAAAGAAAACCATAACTGCATTAACAATCAAAATTTTTATCCTTACCCTGAGCCTATGACCAACCAATAGTTGTATCATAAAAACCATAAAGGTAGAGAGATCAATGCTCTGAAGTGAAATGTACATACACAAACATACATGCGCTCAGGTACAAGCAGCCCAATCTTCAATCTCCTTACCATCATCTAACTCAAGTTTCACCTATGCTCCCTGCTTCCCTGATACTTTGTGATGACTGGTCTGGTAGTAATTGTAGAAAATGGTGGAAACCCCAATGCATTTGCAATCCAAGGGCTTTGACTTTCCAGCAACACATGCTCGATAGTTGAACGGGAAGCTTTGTTTAGCAGAAGAATGGTTTTCTTTATCAAGAGGAAGGCCAAGTTTTTTCACAAAGCGCTATATTATTGATTGTCCACTAATTGTTTTTCTATCTTCAAAATCACAAGCGAAGTGGCATTAATGTTGGAAAAGATGATTAGAAAGTTAATTTGGGGATTATGTTCTAAACTCAAAGGAGTTGTCTCTTGCATTGGAGTTCAGCAATTGGGAACTCTGTAATAAAGTCTAGTGAAATACATATTTATCGGTCAAATGACTATGCAGTTTCTCCCTTGAACAAGATGCTTTATGACAGAAGATGCTTGCTAGTAAATATATGATGTTGAGCAGTTGAGCAGTTGAGCAGTACGGTTGTTAAAATTAATTTGAGTGGTGATCTTCCTTTTCTAAGCAGAAATCTTCCTTATAAGTTCATCTAAATGTAGATTTGAGAACCAGAGAGTGATCAAATTGCAGGAGAGCATGTGAGTTTTTCACCTTGTCTCTCTGAACTTTGTTTGATCCTTGACATTTC